TTTTTTTTTTCTTTAATAAATGTAGGATATACAAAAGACAACAAGTTCAAATGCTTGTGACTGATACATCCTTAATATGTCCATCCGATTAAAGCACAGTTAACATATTTTTTTGAATTACAAAAAATGCATGTTATGCTTTGGTTTGTCAGAAATCAATCCCACGACATTAATTGGCTCACTGTGACTTCCTTGAAAGAACGACATGGAGCGATAAATTAAAATATGACTCTTTCAAGTCTGCAATGGAACAAGCCACAAGAGACTTCACTACAAATGATTTGTAGCAAGGCTTATTGTGATTCATTGTTAGTTTCACAAAACCACAGTCAAATAACTCAGTTTTTACTACTGAAAGCTATTTTCTCAATCATCACCAATCACATGGTCACCTGTTCTAAAATGTCCCACCGATTCATCTTTAGAATCACCTCCTGGCCTTGATTACAAGCTTGTCAGGTCCACGTTTTCCTCACTAACTAACAGTTGCATTACGTGGTCAGTTGTAATGAAACTTCTGCATCAGTGATAAAGTACCATTTGTCGTGGTATAGATGTGAACAACCCTCTGGTTATTAGACCACAATCTGAACTGGATTGCTGAGAAGATGGCAATTGCCGACAAGAAGAATGCCAGTACTGCTTGCCACGGACGGGTCCCCGCACGCTGCTCTTGAAGGAACTGCATCAGTTTATCCCAGGATTTTTCTTGTTCTGAGAAGCGTTGACGACTGACTTGACGGACCAGTCGATTCCACAGATAATCCACATCAACGTTACCCAGGGAGACGATTGGCAGCAGTAAAAAGAAGAATAACAAGAACGAGTGCTCATACTGAAAAAACGCCAGTGGTGCAGTTTTGACAATCCACATGTGCAACTCAAGAAGAAGGCAAACTGTGCTTAAAATTAGGTTCAAGGCAATCCAGCCTGAGGCAAATTCTCGGAATATATGATAAGCATCAAATGCCTCTGCCAGGCGAGCTCTACACAAGTCAATGTCTCCAATGTTGTCATGCAGAAACTTTGTGATAAGTCGAATCTCTGACTCATAGCTGCAACGCAAAAGGTACACTAAGTAACAGAATCCACCAAAATTGATGTAGCCCTCTATGACGACAAAAAAGTGAAGAGGAACAAGAGTAGTCAGTCCAGACAAAGAGGCATTAGCAGAGATGGGTGACACAAGCACTGGGTCAAAATAAGGTGCCACTATCTTGAGGCATTGTGTGCACATTATAGCAAGGCTTCCTAGGAAGAGAGCGTAACCAGCAAACTGCTTGTTCTTCATGTTGACAAATCGCATCCTGTGAACAAGAAATTCCACTGCCAAGGCATTTGACCAACTTCCCATGAACACTGTCGGCCATGTGGTGTGGACAACAGAAATGAGGCACGTAAACGGGCCAATGTACAGCAAGAGTTTCATGCCAATCCAGGAGAGCACGTGGACTATGTCACAGTCTGCATCATGGTAGCGAGTTATTAACAGTATGATGTTTGCTAATGTGACACCACTGATGAGAAGAAGCCAAATCAGCGACAGAAAACCACTTCCACAATGATTGAAGAATGATGACCCGATGTCGCTATCAGTGAAGGCAGTCGGTACGCCCCTGTGATCCCACATCAGGCTGTCGCACACTTTGCACTGATTTTCAGTGTAGTAAAATGCATGCCGTTTCTTTGATGAGTGGTCACATCTGCTGCACAGTTTGGGGCGAACGAGGCGACCTAACCCAAAACAAGAAAAAATAAATAAATAGTATATTGATTACGAAAATGAAACCTTTTTGACTGTGTGCCTGAAATAAAATGTGTAGTCTCCAGACATTTTAGGAAGTCCTTAATGATCCCTGATCTACGAGGATGGAATTACAATGGCATGTTACATTGGGTTATTACTGAAATATACGATGGTCACTTTAAAACGACAGTGTCTTTTTGGCTGATAATCAAATTTCCTTTTTCGTAAATTTCCATAATACAGTGTATTATCACTGATGCCACCAAGTAATACAAATAAATACTTCTACAGAAGAACAGAACATTTGCGGATTACAAGGATATAGTTCATCACTTTGATAAGACGTGAACAACTCTGAATGATGAAATTTTGAATCTTTATGTCAGACTTTCTTTTGTATTCTTTTTGGATGATATTTCTTTGCTTTCACCACTTTTGACAATTTTTTTTCTTTCTATTGCAAGATACAGTATTAAAGCAATTTCATATTACCATGCTGCTGGCCATTTATTCATAAATTAAAACACAATCAGGAGGATATTGTCCCTTAAATATAGTGTTAAGTCCTGAATTGAAGAATTCAAGGTCTATTGAGGCCTGATCAATATACTTCACTGTATAATTGTATTTTCTTGGGTTAAACACAGTTTACTTTGATTCACAGTGCTGATGAGTGGCAAATCCAAGTTATAGTCAGCATATTGTCAGTGCTATGAGAGCTGACCAGAGTTCAAGTGTCCAGGCATGCATAAATTATAAATATAAAAGGAGTCTGCTATTGTCGTCATAATTACCAGAATGATAAAGTCCTAATGTCTTCAAGTAGAACCACAGTAGAACTGGCCATCTTTCTCCAAGTTCAGCCGCTTTCAAAATGGGAACCTTGACAGAGTCACTGCTTTCCTGAAGACTCAAGGAGAGTGTTCCAAAACGGCCCATCTAAATAATTAACAGAAAACATAAGTTAATAAAGATGGT